CCCAAAAAAACGATTAAAGGTTTTTATGTTTTTTTTCCTATTGTTGCTACATGTAAGCCCAAAAAAACGATTAAAGGTTTTTATGTTCTTTTTCCTATTGTTGCTACATAGGGCTGTAAATGCGCCGAGCTTGAGTGAGCTCAGGATAGGCTCGTGTTCGGCTCGTTAAAAAATGCTCGTGTTCGAAATAGGATCGTGAACAATGTGTTTGTGTTCGTCTCGATTTAAATATTCGTGTTCGTGTTCGGCTCAAACTTGGCTCGTTAAAATTAAATTGATAAAAATAAATGTAGAGTGTTGGATTCAAATATGGAAAAAATGTATGCAAAATAAGACACATAACCACATTACCGCACGAGTTATTATGATTTAAACTTAGATATAAATATATGTATAATACTATTATATAAATAATACATGTAATATATTATTATATAAATAATTATATAACTTTTTTTTTATTTTAAGCTAAAACGAGCCGAACACGAGCAAACAAAGAGTTGTTCGTGTTCGGCTCGTTTATAATTCGAGCTTTAAAAACTCTTTCGTGTTATGCTCATTTACTTAACGAACGAGCCGAACACGAGCTGTTCACGAACAACAAGCTTTTTTGACCGCCCTATTGCTACATTAGCATAGTATCTTAAGGCCCCAATTAATGAGACCTTCTGCATGTCCATGAAGTCCTCGATGAGTTCAAAGTGAATTGTTATAAGAGGCTAAGAAAAGTAATTATTGGATGCCCCTTTTTGTAAAACACATTGCTGGGGTGATTACCTTAAAATTGATTCTTAATAGTAATAATATAAGAATAGTTTAGCATGTTTTAAGCTTCGTGATTTGAGCAATTAAAAATACATTTATCCAAGTGTAATTGCTATTTTTGAGGCATTAAGAGATTTTGGGCACTGTAGCATATAGTTTATCTTGTTCTAAACTATGTGCTTTGTGCAATAAAAGAAATACCCGATCTAAGCTTAATAAGAGAAATTTGAGATAATAAGAGAAATTTGGAGCACCATTTCAACTTCTAATAAGATGAGTTTGTAGAACAAATTTTGACCTCCCTTGTGTTGTAATGGGAGAAGCCAGACTTATTTTAAAATTCAAGATAAGATGGGTGGTTTATGCACATAGATAAGAATAAATTATAGTTTTAATCCCACATCTTGTTGACAAATTATATATCCAAATCATCTTAATATATAAGGGAGTTCATACTTAAAGATAAATATCTAGAAATTAACAGAGATTATTATCTAAAACAACTTTAATGTTTATATGATACATATGTTTGGGTCTTATGGATGACCATTGTAGAGACTCTAATTGCCAAAATGTTTTTGTGGCTTGCTAAAATATTTCATCTCTATAAAAATTATTAACAACTAAACGCTTATTTAACTCTACTACATTGCATTATAAATTATAGACCAAAAGAAAAGGGAAGACAAGCATCGCATAAACAAGAGAAGAAGAAGCTTCATTCAGCAACTATAGCTCTGTGTTTCAGGTTCTGACAGCTGATGAGGAAGAAAAGAATGAAATACAAATCATATAGCATGTGAGAGGGACAAATACCATGTGGTATAGAAAGTAGACGTATTAGATTAAAGACAAATTAGCAGTGCTAAAAGTGGTACTGATTCATGTGGGCCCACACTAGTAGGTAGATCGTAGCCCCTAACTGCCGTTCAGTCAGTTGAACTGCTATATTAAACCAATGATAGATAGATGTACAAGCATTATTGTAGTTCTATCATGTTCAATGTACAGATAACTAATATCACATGAAACCACTGCACCTAATCAACAAAGAAATATTATTTGAAGTGAAATTTTGATCTGAATTTGTAATAATTAAAGAAATTTAAACAGTTTGGACATAATTTATTGTGAATTAAAATTTTATATAGCAATTGTCAGCCTTTAAACCAATGAATTTATATAACCATGCAGAAAAACTGCTGATAAAACTCATCTCATCTATTGATTTAAGTTTTGCCATCAAAAGGATTTTACAACAACAACAAACAACAAACAAAGCCTTAATCCGACTATCTACACGAATCCTTTTTCTCCATTGCCTCCTATTTAGTGTCATATTTTCTTCTAGTTCTAATAAATTAAAATCATTTTTTATAAAAAAACCCATGTCTTCCTTATTTTTCACATTTCCCAAAAATAACAATAACAATCAAAACATTTTATTTTCTTCACTAAAAGCTCAATTTTCAAATTTACGAGAGTGCGAACAAAAAAGAAGATATAATATTTTTAAATCATTAAGTTATATCTCATATCAACGTGCAGTGGTTGTTATACTAAAGTTCTTCAAAAAATATTCAGATAAATGCCACCAGCCTACCAATATATCAAGGATATAGTCCCTCGCACTATTATCTCTCTCTCTCTCTCTCTCTCTCTCTCTCTCTCTATCTATATATATCTATCTTTTTTTAAAAAAAAATAAGGAATGGCCGGAGGCTATTATACGAGCCTCGGTCATCCCTCATGCGCCTAAGAATTCGAGTACCACACCCTACACTCGGGGGGAATCGAGCCCCAGACCAGAGAGGAGTTACAACTGACAAGCAGATGTCTGAACAGCTGATTTGAGAGCACCTAAAAGAAACAAATAATTTTTTTTTTAGTAAATCTCAAGATTATAAGATTTGGGATGTTAAAAAAAAAGCTAATTTTATGTGGGATAAAGTAATAAGCATTATTAAACAAGTGGCAAAATACATAGAGAATCAAATGAAAAAGTTTTTTATCAATATAAATAATTGACGGTGGAATAATAATAATAAAAATATGTATATATATATATATAAAGATAAAAAGATATAGATATAGATGTAGAACATGATACAAAACCAAAAAGAATTGATAGAAATAATAATATCCTCTTAATGATCACATGGGGGTCATGGTTATCTATCTATCTGTATGTTACTAATCCACATTCCACAAAGCCTACCAGTAGGCGGAAATCTGAAAATGACTGCAAATGATTAAAAGCAGAGCATTAATAAACATATGGCATATAATTCCAGCAAGAAGAGCTGGAATAAGCCACTAACCCATACATCTTTCAGGACCACAACAACACCTTTCTTGGCCTTTGGAGGATATAAACGCACACTTTGAAAGACATAACCACAACCAAAAGAAAACAGCTTCAACTGCAATATTTCTGGCTGGACCAGACTAAAATTTTTTTGAATTTTTTTGTTTGAAGAACGAGCAATAATACCTCAAAAGCGATATGATTTTTGTTGAATTTGGCTCAAATGATGTGATGGCATATAATTTGACAAGCAAATTTTGTCTCGTTACTAGTTAGTTGGAAAATGAAAATAAAAGAATTAGGAATTCATTTGACATTGACATAAGGTTTATTCTATAAATACCAATAGCTTAGAAAATGAGAAGAAGCAAAAAAGTCAGCAGGAAATAATTGTGAAGAGCCACTAATTATAAAAGCTTCATTGATTTAACAAATTCATAACAAATTCCTGACAATAGTCAGATTGAAGAGTTTCCCATTTCACTTCAGAATTTCCACAGAAACATCATTAAACTCTATCAATGTTCTATGTGCATGTACAATACATTCATCTAAAATTTTACACAAATTAAAAGTAAGTAAGATAATCCCGCTTCTATAAATTTCATGCTTAAAAGGATTATTGTTGTTCTTCAAGGGTAGCCTTCCCTATAAATTTGTAATTTATCATCTTCATAGCCAGCCCTCATTGATGTAAATTTTAATAAACTCAAAACTTTAACTTTTATACATTTCCTAGTTTGAAACATTGGCAAATGATGATCGATTACAGCTTCCATCAACTCAGCCAAGCTGCGCTTATTACTGAAGAACTCAGCCAAGCTGCGCTTATTACTGAAGCAAATATCGAAATCAAATATGCCAATGAAATATAGTCCGACAAATCCATGTTATCATTTTCCTCTACTACAAATCATTACTGTTCAACTTTTGGTTATCATTCGACAAATCCAAGGATGTATTGACTTATCCTTTCCATAAATAAAAGACAAATAAGAATATCATTAGTTGCCAATTTAGTTCTTTGTATGATATCAAGAAGCAAGATAAACAAAACATGAGTTTTCAAAAATTTCATTAAATAGATGAATATTACATCTAATTAACCTTATACTGAGGTCATTCCAAATTCTCATCTGCCAAACTTTTCTAGCAGTATAGACCAAAATTCATCATTTTTTTTCAGTTTCAAATTTTCCACAGAATATTTATTCCTAAATCTCATAAAACATTATGGTGTGTGACTTTTCACCATCCATACAAATTTGCTTCCAGTAACATTCTCAAGTAGACATATAACCAGCCAACAGACTCTTTCCTGTATTGAGATTAATGAAGGCTTGATGAATGCAGGATTTCCATACCTACCACATAATTCTTATGTATTTCAGATCTGACAACTAATGTTCATTCTTTACATTAATAACATTTCAACTATGAATGAAAAAGTGTTTTCACATAAAAAGGTAGCAATAGTGGTATTTTTTATGCAATTTGAAAGTCTAGAGTGTTATTAAGTGTAAAAATAAAGTTTAGAAGTTAGACAGGTAAATACTTAGGAATTGTGTGGTATGCAAGTAAATGCCCATTGATGAGTTTACTCATAGTTAATTCTCTTCACGTATATGATGAAAATTACATGTGTTCAAATCAACAGCGCGAATTTTATAAGTTCTGCATGCAAAACAGTTCTCCACTAACCAAAGAGACTCTTAACACTTATAATTTGACGTAATACAAGGTTTACAGATTGTCAAAAAATAATTTAGTCGGATCAAAATAGATGGCATTAGATCTTCAACACAAGTAAAAAATTGTACAAAGACTATAAAAATCATAAATCTTATTACCTAATTCAAGATATATTTGCCAAAATTTAAAGTAAAAACTAAACCAGGCATTAACATTTGCAAAATACCGATTTTTTGGAGAATCAATCTGTCTAGAAAAGCAACAGACTCGGTAGATTAGATGATCCCATGATAAGGTAAAACCAATTAGGATACCGAAAAAAAGGGTTTTTGACCACAAAAGTTTCACAATTTTAGAATCTAACATGCCTTCAAAGGATTATAATTACCCTACTCTGCAACATGTGGTAAGAAATCCAACTAGGAGATACAAGTAGATTAAATATTTTAACACCTCCAAGCCGATACCGAAGCTAGCTCACCTCGTTGCCAATACAGGTAAAGTGCAGCTTGGCGCTTCTCAACATAGAACCCTCTAACCTGTACCCTTTTCAAGAGGCACTCCGCCTGAGTCTCTGTGAAGTTGCTGAACTGAAATGGAACAAACCCGGCTGAAGCAAAAAGAGTTCTCCATGGCAGCGTCTTCTCAGCAGTGCAGTGACGCCCAAGCACACAATTCTCAATTCTAGGTTGCAGAACAAACCTCTCTATCTTATTAGTCACATCCTGGTCAGTGCCTGCAGCGTCAAAGGAGTCTAGGAGAACTATGCAGGACTGCAGTGCATGAAGAAAGTAATGAGAGAAGACCAAGTCACCCCTATCACATCCTTGATCCATAGAAATGACAATCTTGGGCAGCAGCTGCTTGATAAGGCGAAGGAGAGTTGGAAAGGAATGGCCTTGCCAAGCTCCAACAGGAAGGTTCACAGCAATGGCCTCATTGCTACCAGCGGAGAGAACAAGAATCTCAGCAGGGTCGAAGGATTCTATGTTTGCTATGTTAATTTCAAAGGGGATGTTGAGGTCTGAAGCAAAATGGGAAAGATTTTCTTTGGTGAGATGGAGCTCCAGGGGGTGGAAGGCATAAGGGGAGACAAAAGCAGTAATTTTGAGAAGGGAAATGGCTGATGATGATGATCTACGCTGTGAAAGTTCCTGCATGAAGGAGGACCACTGCCCACCGACACCAATGTCAAAGTCGATTATGTGAATGCAATCACTTGTGCCAAGCTCCTCAAGAAGAGTCTGTGTGGCGGTGAAGTTAGTGAATTGCATGATGGGGGAGACCTCTGAGAAAGCCTTGTAAGCGCTGAGCTTGAGAACAACATCCAATGGAGAAGCCAATGGGGAAGTGAAAGGGGTTCTGCGGTGGTGAGGAGAAGAGGTGGCGGCTTGTGGATTCACGTAGTTTACCAGGAGTTGCAGAGCCTCCTTGAAGTAAAAGGCAGAGCGGAGGAAGGGCTTCCCAACTGCGGAAGGGAGCTGGTGATTGAGCCGCGCCAATATCCCATGTGCGCCGACCAAGTTTCCGGACTCAACGAACTCGGCCGCTTTCAAGAGCTGGTCGACTAGAGCCTGCTGGTGCTGCTGTTGAATAGCCATAGCCTCGTCCCCAGCTGATAGAGATTTGGGCTTCAGAGGTCGATGCTGAAGATGATACGGGACAGGGTGGAGCTGAGGAATGTTCAAGTTTTGGTTAGGCTGCGGCCGTACGAATAGCTCAGATCCGGCGCCCGGATGAGAATTGGGGAAAAGGTTCTCCGTCGAGGAGGAGAAAGATGGAAGTGGGACGAAGAAGGCTGGGTTTGCGGGAACCTGGTTTTGCTGGAACTGGTTAAGGAGGAGGTTTGAGCCAAAAAACTGTGGTTTTTCTTCGGTATGTTCTTGGAAGAACATTGCCGGAGGAATGGAGAAGGGCAGTGAGGTCGAAAAAATGTGATTTTTCTCCCCGGGAGCAGCATCAAGCTGTGGCGGCGTTGGATGGCTGCTAATGCTAGAGGCCGAAGCATTGTGCTCAAAACCAAAGCCAGGATCAATTAACCCGAAGCCAAGGCCATGGTTTCCGGTGTCAAATTCTGGCATGGGAGTTGGAGAAGAAAGCATTAGATGCTGTTGCTTCGCTGGGTCGTCTGGGTCTCCCATGATCCAGCGGAGAAAAGTCTGTTCTTGTCCAGGAGAAGCAGCGGATTCAGTAAGCATCGTATCCCAGTCCATCTCCAGTGACGCCGGAACTGGGTGGAGCTCCGGTGCCCACTCCTCTTTTCTCCCACCTTCTTCTCCGGCTGCGTTGGGCCATTTGATGGCAGGTTTGTCGGAAACCGCCGCCACCCGCCGCCACACCGGCGGTATCAGTGAAGCGTACGGCTCCGCCGCCGAGGGAAGAAGACAGCGTGGACGTGGAAGTCGGAGGACTCGGGCTTCTCTGATCCAGAACCGATTTTGGCTCCAAGATGACACCTTTCTTCCTCTTATGAACGCCGCTGTTCCAACAAACACCGTTTTTTTCTTCCGCTCGGGTTCCTCTTGCCTGTGATTCTGATACTAGCACCGTCCCCTTCCTCTGGTAGTTAAAGGGCAACCCCCTCATCTAATAATATAACCTCCGCATACAAGCAAGGAGCAAAACCCAACTCTTCTAACTCTCTCTCTCTCTCTCCCGATCAGACGAGCTCCATTTATCTTTTTTAAATCTGCTGCAAATCAGAGAAGAGAAGGTGGATTGGTTTGCAAGCGAACTTCAAAGCTTTTCTCCTCCGAAGAAAAACAAACAGAGGACTCTTCATCTGGTTCTCATGCTCTCATATCCCTCCCAAAGGATTGGAAATTACCACTCTTCATCTTCCCAGTTGCCTTGCTCCCCGACACCATTTTTTCTCTTTGCAGTTATTATTTTTCTCTATCACTCTCGTGAATGGTAGAGACTGGAGAGGGCTCAGAACTGGGTACTCTGTCCCTTCTTTCTCTCTCCTCCCCTTCTTCTCTATTTCCTCTGGCGTACAATAGACAAAAGTCCAATAGTGTTATTCACCGTCCCCTCTCTCTCTCTCTCTATGGTCCCTATCACCCTGCAGTTCATTTTCTCCATTTATTTGATTTCATCTTTCGGCCGGCTCCTGAGACGCCATGGGCCTCTGACCCACTGACCCGACTGTAAAAAATAATTTCATTTTAATTTTAATTAAAATAATAATTATAATATATTATACTTACATGAACTTTCAAAGAAGATAAACTATTTGAATTTATCTCTTTCAAGTGGGCTTTTATGTAATACTAGAACTCAATTGAATAAATCTGTTAGCAAAATCGTTTTCATTGAATACCTTTATTTCAAGGCCTTCAGCATGCTGACTAGCATGATTCCTCTCAATATCTATTTGAAGTTTAGTGTTGATATGTTATTTGTTGTTTAGATTAGAATGCTTTCAACGTCCATTTTAATGTCAATGGTCCTCTTAGATTATATTATTTAGCTTTCATATTAATTTTATTATCATGTACATTCATGACAGGTGCCTTAATCTCATTTTATTTTCTACACATTGTTATTGTGTATGGATATAGGATTGGATTATATTTATGTACATCACAATTGCTTTTTATTTTATTTTTTTGTTGGGGGCGTATTGCAAAATCTAAATGGAGCGGGGCATTGTCATATATTTTTTATTCATTTGAAATGACTATTTAATAACATTGGGTGATATTTATCTTAGTGTTCGTTTGCGCAGCTTATTCGCTGCGGGGCGTTTTCAAAACGTAGTCAAAGATGTTTGTTTCACTCGTTTAGGTTGTGTTCCGCGTTACGCAGAAATTGTTTTCTTTTAAATGTCGACCATGTTTGGGAGAGAAAGTTATCTCCTTTGCCCTTCTTGCGGAAGCATGGAGGAGGCACTACGAACGGCCGCCTAGTCACATTTAACGTCTACTCTCAGCTTGAAACCCTCGACTGAGACCCTCCACATCACTTCGTGAACGAATGAACCCTCTCGATACAGTCACTAGAGCTAGTTGCCCCAAACAGTCCCTTAATTGCCCGATTCCTCTTTCCCATTCGAGTCTACTTCTTCCTCTAAGTGATCGTGATGGAGTGGTCATGCTTTGACGACGGCGATGTGGAGGTAGAAAGGTTGTTCATCGGAGCCGGTTGCAACCGTGTGGTGATCAACGCCTCTTGGAGAGCCTCTGACCTGGTCGCCTTCGGTCCTCAGGACGTCGTCGGTGTCTTCTATTCCAAGGTTTGCTTCGTTTAGTATATACGGCTTCTGATAAGGAAACTATGTTTATTTTGAGTATTTTTTTTCTCCGTTGGTTTCTGAGAGTGCTCAAATTTTGACAACTCTTCCTATTGGCACAAATGTTTCGAATATTTTTCTATATCTTAAAGATATGATTTTGATTTATGGTCGTTTAGGTAAATGCTCAAAATGGTTTTTTGCTTTTAGAAACATGATGTTTGAGTTGAAAACTTGGGAAAGACCTTTCTTGCGAGCATTTGACTGTCTTAATTCCAGAAAGATAAGATATGATTTTTAAGTTGGAAATCTGGGAAAAGATGTTTCTTGTAAGCTCTTGAGCTTTTTGATTCCACTCAATGGATGAGTTTAGAAAGTTATAACGTTTTGAATTCAATTTAAAATTGAGTATTTGAATTCAAAGAGCGAATGACATTGGAGAAAGTTTAGGAAGGCCAATTAGAAATTCAATATTTAAAATTTATGTTTGAAATTGAGTTCCATATTTTGAAACCTAAATTTCAACCGGAAGATTTTGACGAGAAAATGAAAAGGGGGTTGAAATTTTGATTTAAATTATCATTTTAATATATATATATTTTTTTTCCATCAATCTTGATACTCACTGTTAAGTGTGGGTTGTTTCTTATTTCTTTTTATTGTTCTGTATTAGTTTTCTATTTTTATAGTATCAAATATATTGACAAGACAGTTTTGTTGCAAATAACATTACTTAATAGGGATAAAATGATCATTTATTCATAAATAACTGCAAATAAATTGTTTTCAAACAGCTTCCCCAAACAACCAACCAGCTTATCCGAATAAGCTGCTGATCAGCAGATTATTCAATAAGTTGCAGCTGACCCAAACAAACTCTTAGTGTTTTTGTTTGAATTATCAATAGCATTAGGTTCTCGTAAAATTTTTCTTTCTTTATAAAGTTAACCAAACTATTATGTCATCTTACAATAATCCTTGATGAACAAAATCAAAATGTGTAGTGTTTGGGCCAATTTCTGGAAAAACGAAAGAAAATTATACTCCTATTAACTATATGTGTATATATTGTAAGCATATAGTGCAATATTGAAAGATAGTCAGAACCAATATAATTTTTGGCAGGATAATCCATTAGAAATAAGTGAAAATTATTGACAAAATAATCAGTCATAAATTTTTCAAATAAAACACTTAGAAAAGTTCTATAGGTTTATCTTTTACTTATATACAACGGAATTCCTATGAAATTTTTATATGAAATTGTTTTGAAGACTGTCTACTAGAATTAATATTAGACACATGTTATTTATGTAACGAATGATAAACCCTAATCAATTCCTTTTCTTCTACGTCCAGCTTGCTCTCAATCCAATGTGGAATATATGACATAGCACCTCCAAAACAACCTAAAATTATATGTTTTTTTTTCGATTTCTTTTAAAATTAAACTTAAAGTTCCTTGACTAGCTTCTATATGAGTTATGATTTTGCTTAATAAAGTTTTTAATTTATTGATTTATAATCATTGATTTTTTTTTTCTAATTTTAGCATAAATCTTGTTGAAACTTAATTGAGATTTATTTATCCTACATTTTTTTTATTGTTCATAGTGAGATCAATAATTCTTAAGCTTTGATTTAAAAATTTGAATTTTTTTTTTTTGATCACTGAGGTTTTAGATTAATTTAGGGTCTATTTGAAGCTATTACATTACTATTTTGATATCAAACTCTTGCAGCAACAGGACCTATCTAATCGACCTTTGTTTGGCATCTTTTTTTTTTTGACATCGGATGTCAAATAGCAGAATGATCAGTATGAATAGTACACTTTGTATCAATCAAATATGATATGAATTTATCAAACGCATATACTATAGCCAAATGCTTCTTTTTAGCAGTAGTGTAGTTAATCTAAGCTTCATTAGAGGTCTTATTGGCATAGTATACAGATCGAAACATTTTATCGTGCATTTGTCGTAAAACTGCCCCTATAGTGTAGTCACTCGCATCACACATTAATTCAAACGGGCTTCCCCAATCAGGTTGAACAATAATAGAAGCAACGACTAACTTTTACTTTAAAGTGTTGAAGGAAGCAAGGCAATTTTGGTCAAAATTAAACAGAACATCCTTTTCCAAAAGATAGCGCAAAAATTTAGTAATTTTGAAAAAATCCTTAATATATCACTGATAAAATTCAGCATTTCACAAGAAATTTCTAACTCCCTGCTGAGCTCATTTTTGGTTGAGGTCTAGTTTTTTTCTCTTTAGTAGCCTAAGGTCTAGCCATAAGATTATCCTGCTGACTATTCCTAGAGAACTAGAAAAGGAACCCTTACCATTAGAAATTCTAAACATTTCTTTATTCAACTTGAAGTTCCACATGTTTGTCCTAACCTCTAGCACTTAGTAGGTGGGGTCGATATGGAGAAGCTCAAGGGGAGTCCCCTATAGAATGGTCAGACCTTAGGACTAACCCTGGGTGATTTGGTTTTGGTTGGGCTAGCTTGCACACACTTTTACACACCCCAAATCCTAGGACCCCTTAGGTTGGTCTCCTGTTACCTTCTGGAAAGCTCATATAGATGAACATATACCCCTGATCTTTGGCTAAGACGGTTAGAGCCAACATATTGAGCATCCAAAATGAATCCTCATATGACTCCTATTGGTTTGGTATGGCTCCATGGCTTGTTGGCTAATTTTGGCCTAAAATCACCAAATTGCCAAAATACCCCATACGACCCTAATTTTTGCTAAAATTTCCAAAATTACCCAAAATACCCAAATTTGCCCAAAAATCATCTCAAACAACTCACCACTACCTAAATTATCCAAAATTCACTAAAATCACCAAATTCTCAAAATAACCCCAAAAATTGCAAAAATTACCAAAATACCCCTCATGACTTAAGAATTCCAAAAATTTCAAAATCATCCCAAATATTCCAATTTTCAATTTTTAACCATCACATTAACCCAATTTGACCAAGAGCCCCAATTTGCCCTTAAAGACCCAAATGTCCCAAAATTAACCCCAATTTTGGCCCAATTAGCTCCAATCTTGCCCAATTTCAATTCCAAATCAAAATTCAGCATCCCCAATCCTACTTTGAACAAAATTCAAGCCCAATTTGATCCAATTGCAAACTCAATTTCACCCAAATCAAAAAGTCCAAATTTTGACTATATGTCTAAATCCACTAAATTAGCCCCCCAATTCAATTCAAAATCACTTGAAATTTGTCTAAACTCTTCATGAAATACTTCTACACCGAATTCAACATTAAATTAGCCCAAATTTTAGCCCAAATTCAAGCTCAATTTCAAAATCCCAAGCCCACTACATCTAATTTCAAAAGGCCAAATCCAAAGCCCGCATGACAATTCTTTCTCTTCATCATCCATTTGATTAAAATCATTCCTGAAGTCCTAAATTCAAAATCAAATCATTCCAAATAAAGCATCATGCTAAATTTCATCAAAATATCTTATAAATTAAAAAATCCCTTCTCATGAAAATTATCCAAGCTAAGGACAAGCCATGAAGCCACTCCCAAGCCATAAATAAGCCATGAGAGCCATGCCACATCACCATACCATTAATGGAAAGAGACCAAGCCACTTTCAAGCCCCTTAAGATTCTTTTAACCCCTCCCATGAATCACTCTAGCCCATATTTAGCCAAATCCCCTTGGATGGTGACTTATCCCCACTGATTAAGCTGAGCCAAATGATATTCTCTTCAATCTAAACCAACCTTGATGAGTGAACCCAAACCAAATGACCCAAAATAGCCCTTCCCCCATACTATTTCAA